CCCCCCTCCAGTGCAGTCCCCTGAGGCAGGTAGGTCACAGGCTGGAAAATACACAGGAGGATTATCCCATCTACGTGTTGTATTTGCAGATTCTTGTTTTATACATCTGAATTTGACTACTGGTGGGGGGAAGTTTAGATGGATCTTGGGTCTGACTCTTTGCAGCTGCTCTTTTTCTCTTGTATTCTACTCTTTGATGTTGAGCTAGTTGGTTTTACTTCACAGAGAGCTGCTCTGTTCTGTGATTTCTTCCCAATGTGAGCCTCTCCTGACTACAGCAGGATTTTTCTAACATCCTTGAAAAGCACAGAATGAATTCTGTTCCAAGGAACCGTATGGTAGATTAGAGAAGATGTGTTAATCAACATGTTTTCTTAAGGTTTCAGGTTTTTTCCAGTGTTGCAGGTGATGCAACAGCTTTGTACAGTTCAGTTTCAGAGGCACAATGATAATCAAGATATTGTCACAGCAGTTTGGGCTTATGGGATATCTTAATTCAAAATCCTTTTTCCAGCTGTGCTGGGAGCATGCTTGGTAACAGGAAGATTTAGGGACTGCCTGTGGAGAAGAGATACAAAAATCTCCTTCCCTCCCACCACCAGTCTTGGATGCTTAGTTAGAATTTTGTTTAAAAAAAAAAAGACAGACACAACTTTTTGTTGTTAGATCATTTCCAGATTTTGTGTTTGTTCTTATGTGTCTGGATAGCAATAGGTGTTCCTGTATCTGGTGTCAGTACAAAGGATGGAGAGCATGGTGTATTTCATCTGGCTTGTGGACCCTCAGTATTTTTCATGTTGTTCTTGGCTAATGCTAAAGACACATTTTAATTTGTGGCTTTCCAAAATCATCTGCTGCCCTCAGGAAGAAGATTCCTTCCCTGTTAGGATAGTGTTTTGTTGTGCATGAGATCAGAAAGAATATTGCAAGCTAAAAATTCCTTTCTTCTCTCCCAAAATGCAACCAGCCCAAGGCAGCACCTGTCCCCGTGTGCACAGCAGGCACCTGTAAGGCTGGTGGCGAGATGGGAGTCTGCTTCCCTTTAAAGCAAAAGCTTTGGGCTGGTCAGCATCACGAACTGAGTTGCTTGCCTTTTTTTCTTTCTTCCAGCACTGGGATGTGTTTCGGACAATTACAGAAGTTTTCATCCTGGTTCCTGCCTTGGTTGGCCTAAAGGGTAATCTTGAGATGACACTGGCATCCAGGCTCTCTACAGCTGTGAGTGTTAACAAGGTGGTGATGGGGTGTGTGTGGGGAGGTGGGAGATTAGCAGGACACATCAGGAGATTCTGCATTTATATAACCATACTGTGTGTATGAGACATGCCCTTTTCTGCTAAGTAGAAACTAGTGGTGTGTGAGTGTTGAAATAATGTGTTTGCCCTCATTTTGTAACTGGAACAGAGAATTTCCATCTGTGCTTTGAAGGTGAATTAATCCCTGGGTGGCCAGTTGCTGATATTTGGGACCCTGTGACACGTGAAGGAGACAAAGCCAGGGCTCCTAAGCTGTCATCTTCAGTATTGGATTGCTTTTCTTTGGGTACTGATCCTTGAGAGACCCAGGGCTTCCCAGCAATTCTACCTTGGGGAAAGCAGACTGAGGCTTCTTGATACCTGCAGTAGCTTTTGCTACTCTGGATTTTATCTCTCCTATCTCCCTGAGCAGTTGTGTTTGCTTTGGGCTGTTTGTATGGCACGTCTCAGGAGAAACTGGAGCTTAACAGAGCAATTTAGGGGGAATGAAAGAGGAAAACTGGTTTATTTTGTTCAACTTTTGATCTATGAGGGATGAGGTGGATGTGCCCACTCCACCTTTAGCTGGGTGCTCTGCAGTCACCCTGCACCTGTCTCTCTTGGCTCCTAGGCTAACACTGGACAGATGGATGATGCCCAGAAGCAATGGAAAATGGCCACCTGCAATTTAGCCCTTATCCAGGTGAGTAACTTCAGCTGGGAGAGGAAAAAGGCCCTTTTCTCTTGCTGTGCTGCATCCCAACAGCATCTGTTCCCAGCAGTGCTGGACCCAGAGCTATTGATTAGGGGCAGGTATTCTCAACAGAGCCAAGCAAAGCCCAGGACTTGACCTCCAATATAGTTCTGTGTGGCCCCAGAGTTTGTAGTTTAGCTGCAAAACATCTACACATTCAGTGCCTTTATTGACAAACTGAAATAATGGAAAAAAACCCTCCTTTTGCACTGGGAACTGTGGCACAATGTGTGTTTCACAACAGCCCCTAGATAAAGTCTGTCATTTACTGGCAATGTTTGAGATTCAGCCTTGAGCAGGAGGAGAGAGATGGAAGAAATGTGCCTCTTATAGCTTTTTCTGCTTGTTTAAATCCAGCAACCAGCCTAGAGGTTGCACATGGCAAGGCCACTGGGCTTGCAACATATGTCTGTGTGCTTTTCCTTATCTCCTTCCACAGCTTTCAGCTTGCTAGGAGTGCTGTGTTGATGGGGAGCCCGTTTTTTGTGTTGACTAGGGAGGGCTATTCCTTTGCTGATGGACTCGGTGTCCTTTGCTGAAGTGTTATCTGCCCTTTGCAAGCCTCAAGAGTTTTTCTCCAACAAGGATGCTGCTTAAATACAGCAGCAATCAGCCTCTCTGCAAGGCTTTGCCCTCCTAGCTGTGTGCCAACGCATGGAGCCAGGACTGCCTGGGACCAGACATGGATGATTGCTCACCAGCTGTCTTTTGGCCCCCAGGTCCAGGCCACTGTGGTGGGACTTCTGGCTGCCATTGCTGCTGTGATCCTGGGAGCCATCTCCAAGGGCTCTGTGGAGCTGAGCCAGGCTGCTGTGCTGTGTGCCAGCAGTGTCACCACAGCCTTCATAGCGGCGCTTTCTCTCGGTGGGTTGGTTTGGTTCCTCTGATCAAACACGCAACACTCAGGTGTGGAAAAAATCTGTCCCTTCTGCCAGGAAGGCCCAGCTGACATTCTTTTGGTCTGTCGAAGGGAGGAGGGATGCAGGCAGCATTAGTCGTGCGTCTGCTGCTTTCACCTCCCTGCATCCTACCTTTGCTTCTCTTCTCCCGGGATCTGTTGTTTGCTGGGCTCTCGGCATCCACAGCAGCAATCCAAAGGTCCCACTTCACATGACATGGGGAAAATGCCTGCTGCTATGTGAGGGCATGCACATATGCACACACACATGCACACTAACTTTCCACATGCATCTTGGGTGACACATTTGCCACCTACAGTGGCCCTTTCCTAGAGGAGGATGAACTAGCGCCATGCACCAAGCAGGGTACTGACAGTCTGTTAGCAGGCAGCTGCAGAGCAGGGACTTGGGGCACCTAATGCTGCATGGAGATTGTGGCCAGCCCGGGGGCTTGTCTGCTGGGAGCTCTGAGCCAGACAGGCCCTCCCCTGGCTGTTCCTCTTGCGAGGGAAATGGGATGGGGTGGAGGAGTAGGAGCTGCTCTGTGCAGGCTGAAGATGCTCAGTTTGCAGGTTTGCCATGCGAGGGCAGCACGGCTCCCTGAATAGAGGGAGCTGGCAGAGTTAGGTACAGCAAGTTTTCTAAATGAAAGGGGCAAGTTGGAACAAGTGCATATCCTGAAGCTGGAGTCAAAGGGTGACTGTAGATGCCTTTGATGAAAAACATGGGATGAGGCAGTTGCTCAAAGAGAAAATGAGCAGCCCAGCTTTCATTATACTCTTCCCTTCAATCTCCCAGCTCGGTGTGATAAAAAGAGGCTTGGCTGCTCTACTATCACAGGCTTTCAGCTTGCATTGGTTTCTTCCCTGGACATGGTCACAGGTGGCCTGTGTGTAGGTGTGCACAATAAGGAGCTGCTATTTTTATGACCAGGGAGGGAAGCAGCATGAACTGCGCTGTGGGGAGGGGAACGTGCACGTCTGGGAGGGATTTTGTGGAGAATGCCATGTTGTGTGAGGATATGTTTCTGTAGAAGGGATGCTGAAACAGGGAAGGTGCACACTTGGCACTTGTAGGGCAGAGACAGTGCCCCTGTGTTTGCTCAGCTTTGGTGGGCCTGTGCAAACAGGCATAGAGAGGTTGTGAGCTGGAGAGAACCACCATTTCTTAGGCTTCTTTCAGTGCATTCTGTCAGCCATGGAAGGACTTTGAGGAGATGTCAGACATCTTGTCTCAGGGCTGCCCTTGGTAGTCACACGTGAGTGGAGGCTGGCCAGGCAGGGTTTATTCCAGGTTCCTCTTCCACAGGCCTACGAGAGATCTGATGGCTCAGGTATTCCCACATGTTCATCAAGGTTTGGATTTGCACTCTTAACTTACCTGGACAAGCAAAACTTCCCTCCTCTCCAACAGTGCTGAAAAGCAGATTCATTTACAGATGCAGCTCAGAGGATAGGAGGAAAAAGGTGATGTGGGGCACCTTCATAACCCCTTGACTCCAGGGCTGCTCACAGCATCAACATCCACCTCGTACAAATTAAAGCAGCCCCAGAGACTCTGGAACACAAGGGGTCAGTCTGATGGTTAGTCTTTTAGCCAGTCTAGAAGGCTAATTCAGGCTACTGCAAGGAAGCTTCTTGTTGGTTCAAGCTCAGAAATTTTGGTCTAATATGGCAAATATTTTTGTGTTGTGGAATTCAGAGCAGGGGATGGCACCAGGAGGCTGTGCATGCCTGCTGTGTGCTTATCTAGGAGCGTGCTTCATGCCTGGTCCTGCTTCAAGGCAGCAAAGATTAGGCTGCTCAGGAGGGGAGCTTCTGCATTTGGGCTGCCTGCTGGATCTCTTTGATCCCTGGAATTTGCTTGTGTGCCTCTGGGCCTTTGGGGCACAAGGGCAGAGTCATGCCCTTCAGGATGGTGAAAGCAAGAGTAGAAATTCCTGGGGATGTCCAATCCCCAGCTGTGTGGTACTGCTGTGGGCAATATGCTTCTTGCTGTCTCAGACCCCATGTCCTTCTGGGAACCAGAACAGCAACTCTGGGGTGAAACACAGCAAAATGCATTCTCTGGTGCCTGCTCTCTGTCTTTTCTAGGTCTGGTGATGATTGGTGTGATCATCGGAGCAAGGAAAGTTGGGATCAATCCAGACAATGTTGCCACACCCATAGCAGCAAGCCTTGGAGACTTGATAACCCTTTCCCTGCTGGCAGGAATCAGCAGCACACTCTTCAAATACATAGGTACAGTGTCTAGCAGGGATCTGCAGCTCAGCGAGGGAGGGAAGAGTCCTTGTGAAATTATTGCAGGGTGCTTACCCAGTTTTGGGATGTCTCAGAATGCAGGCTGTCATGTCACTGCGGTAGAAAAATTACCAAAGAGGCTTGTTTTCCAGGCTTTCTTTTAGTAGCAAACTGGAAGGCAGAGCCTAAGAAACACAACTGGAATTTGTGAAAGAAATTACTAATGTGTGTTGCACAGCTTTGGAACAGAAGGTTAACATATGTGACACTGACTCTGTTCCTGCATCTGTTGCTAGCCAAGCATAACTACTTACTGTGCATGGGTAATAGCAGGTCCTTTCTCACAAAGCTATTACAGGGTTTTGGCCTTTGTGAAATACTCTTGTATCTTCTCATGTGGAGAGTTGTGGATGAACAAGTTATTATCAAACTGGAGGGAGGGAGGCAATGCTGCTTTGGTTTATGCTCACAGGACTCTGAGTAGGAGTTGTGGCTATGGCATCAACTGTGCTGCTGGTTGGCAAAGACTTGGGCACCTCTTGACTCTGAAAAGCTCAAAATATGTTGCAACTTGGTGGTGTCTGCCTGAGTGCCGCTTGTAAAGTGCCAGGCTATTTACTGTGAGCCTAACCTAGAACAGAAAGAGGAAAATACAAATATCTGACAAACTCAGCACCACTTGAAACCCAAACTGGTGCTTTAGACTGTGAGCAGAAGCAGCGACGCGGCTGTTCTTAGTTTGCATAACTTGTTCCATATGCCAGCAAGTGAGAGAGAGGAGTACATATTGCAGGGAGAGGCCCACAAATTCCTTCTGTCCAGTCCTCCTTGAGCTTTAGAGGTGCATTTATTTAATAAACTTTTTCCATGACGCCCTTACAGCTGCCTCTGCAAAGCTAGTTTGTTTCTCAGTCTCTATGCTTCTGATAACATCTCCCAGGGAGCACATGGCAGAACAACATGATAACCGCTGTGGTTGTGACCAGAGACCATTTGTGATGTTTTCAGAGTAGTTTAAATAGCCTCTTGAGGTGGAAAATACTAAGCACACAGACATTTAGTCTGCATGAAGTGAAGCAGTTAGGAGGAAAGCACTGTTGATGTTGGTTGAATAAATCCATTTCCCTCCCCAGTGTGCAGCAAGGGACAGGTCATGCTGTGACAACTTCTTGGTCTTACCAAAATGTATCCTTAAAAAATACTAGTGAATCTGTAAAATTTGGGAGTACTCTGTGCCATCTGATGCAGCACCATCTCCTTCTGCAGAATATCTTTTTGCATATGAATGTTTTCAAATATTTTAAAAAATCAACCCTGGTTCTTCCCAGTCCTCCATAATGGAGATGCAAATTGTGCCAAAGGGTTGCAGCTTGCTTGTGGGCTGGCTGGGAGAGAATGTGGCAGAACTGGAATGTGGAGACCGAAGTCCATTTTCCTACCAGGTGTCATTTTGTGGGTTTTGATAAGGTTTGATAGACTCTTGTGCTCCTTGTCTGCATTATTTAAGAAGGAAACAACAAGGAGTGGAGGTAGGAGGTCCAGTAGAGCAGCTAAATCTGTCATACAACTCATCTGTCCTAAATTACTCCAGGTGATAAAGTGCACTGGCAAAACAGCAGCTATTTACACCCCAGAAGAGGATGCATTTCAGCCACATGTCAAGTGTTTGCCTCTTTGCGTAAGAGCTCTTGACTCATGGAAAATATCACATCAGTGCTGTCTCATCCAGTTAGCCCAAGGCCCTGGCAATGTCGTTTTTGAAAAATGCACACTTTTGAGCCTGCTTTGCCTCCAAGATTACCTGCAAAATCTGTGTTACAACCCGCTAGCTTTGGCCCAACACAGAGAACAGATGGAGAGCTTTGTGGAAGAAGCATTTTTATATCACACGGGTTGGCATCATCCCCATTGCTTGAAGGTGCTTCTCATGCTTCTGAGTCATGTTTATTTTCTTTTAGTGCTGCACATCTACTTATTTTTTAATTCCTTTGCTTTTAAAGGTCAGTTCAAGGTTATGCCCCTACTGAATGGAAAAAGTACCTAATGGAAGCACATTTAAGCTTGTATGAAAGAAACCCCAGATCTTAACTGGCTTATACGTGCAAGAGAACATTTGTTCCTACAGAGCAGACCAGCTGCTCAGGAATTTTGCTAGCTTGTCATCAAAAGTACCTATTACCTCTTGTTTCAGGTGAAGGCATAAGGTGTCTGTCAGACATGTGATGCAGGTTGCACACAGGAGCTTCCCCCTTGCCCTGCTTGGCACCCTGAAGCCAGAAATTTTGTAACTTTTTGTCTTGCTTAGTTGGAGATGGAGTTGGAGATGTGCTCATCTTCAAATATAACTTACTTTGAATCCTGCTGATTTTCAAATCCTCTAGCAGTGAATTTCAGGGGTTAACTGTGGATTTCTGTGGTGGAGGGAGGTAGTTTTGTGGGGAATATCTTGGTTCATGTAATTTTTCTGCTGACATAACTCAGCTGGAGCGAGAGCCCTGCTGCCTTTCTTCCAGACTTAGTGCAATATTATTTTGGCAACCTGTGAAGCCAGGGGCATTTAATTCAAGATTTCTTTTCTTTGTCAGATATGAAATACCTTTCTCCTCTGATCTGTGCTGTCTTCATTCTCATGATCCCTCTCTGGGTTGCTATTGCCAAGCAAAGTCCTTCCCTTGCTGAAGTCCTGAAATCTGGATGGCAGCCAGTCATTGTCGCAATGAGCATCAGCAGGTAAACTGAGGAACTGCTCCCAAGTCCTTGCACACTTGCATGCTGCAGGGAGACACTATGTTCCTTTAGGAAGCCATCAAAAGTGAAATTAGAAGGACATCAGAAGGGTATTTTTCCAGTGCTTCTCAGCCATTCGTGTCCCTCCAGCAGGCTGTGAGCAGATAAGGAGACCAGAAATTACTGGAAAACTCAAGTCATTGTTTCAAGTCTCACTCTCATAGCCATGTACCACCTGAGTGTGTAGAGTGCAAGCTAGAAAACCAAAAAGGGAGGTGATGACAGCCATCACAAGTAGTCAGACTTCACCCTCCTTTTTATCCAGCTGTAAAGACAGAAGACTGGTGAGTGTAGAGCCAGGTAGTTCATTCCATCCGTGCTACATCTTTCAGACTCAGGTAAGATCTGGGACAGAATTTTGAAAGCTGCTAAGAGAAACAGAAATCTGTACTGAGGGAGAGTGTATGTTTTCGGAGGATGTATAATTTGGGGAATACTCATGTATATACACTTGTGTATTTTGGGCTACTATCAGTTTAGCTCAAGGGTAGGCAAGGAGCTCTTCCTGATCTCATTATGTCATTAACAAAAACTGTGAGGCAATTATCAGTGGAAACTGAGCTGTAAAAGGAGTAAATGGGGAATAGTCCAGACCTGGCAAGGGGGAAGAAGCAGTAACTCATCTCAGTGAGCTATTTTCACAGCATAGAAATTGCCCTGGGAAGAGAGATTGATCCACCCTCATTCCCTGTGCTTTTTTAACAGCATTGGTGGGCTTATCTTGGACAAAACTGTAACTGACCCAAACTTTGAAGGCATGGCAGTTTTCACACCGGTGATTAATGGTAGGTTGGGCAGAGTAGGTAAATATGCATGCTTTTATTTATACTTCCTCCTCCTCCCCAAGAGTTGTGGTATCCACTGTTGACCCTAAACAGAGACCTGTGTTCAAGTCCCTGCTCTCAGCAAGAGTGAAAATGAAGCTGCTGGTCCCCATTACATCCCTACTTACTCGTATCTTGCAGTGTCTCTGGAGAAAAATAGTAGGCAGGGCTGAAAAATACTGGCAAAGCTGTGGGAAGGGTTAACAACATCTGATAATTGTCTCTGAGAGCTATGTTGAAACCTTCACTTCGATAACATCAAACCTACCAAGAATGTCACAATAAATCCATATTCCCTGTCACTCTCCACTCAGCAATTTAAGATTAATATGTCAAGATATTATGTGTGTGTGTATATACATATAAAAAGCTTATATTTATATATAGACTATATATAGGGATGAGATATAGATATATATATATACACACACCATCTTTTATGTGTATATTTGTATTTCTTTGAAGCCTCACAGTAGTTTTATACACACACATACCAGTACAAACTGCTGGGGATCCTGGCATCACTGAGGATCTGCTGGGTTGTTTTTCTGCTGTTGTAGTGTTCTTGCAGGCCAGACCCATTCCAGGGGAAACCAATGTTCCTAGGGCAGACCTGGCCTTATGCTACCCTCAAAGCATGGTGTCCTCTTGCAGCGCCTGAGGGTGACACCCAGCTGTCACCTTACTGGATCTGCATAAAGACAGCCATAAAGACAAGCTTTTTCCAGCATGGTTAGCCCAAGAGCCTGATTGGGAAAGTACATCAACAGCAAATTAGTTGAACAATGATTGACCCAGACATGGCTCTGTGGGGGCGGGCGACCTGTTTGGCAGAGCTGGTGACAGTTACACAGCTCCCTGTGTCTCTGCATAGGTAGCTCTTCACTTTGCACCTGAAGAGGAGTCCTGCAAGGCATGGTAGTGCAGAGTTCAGAAGACTTCCTCCTTGAGCTATGTCAAGATGGCATTAGCATTTTCACTTTCATTCTGCTCTGGCAAATCTCACATTTAATGATGGAGTGTTTTCTTCTTCAAGGATTGGAAAACATGAGAAGCCTGTAGGATATGGCTCACTGTAATCTCTTCAGTGGCATTACTACCCTGCAAATACTCAGGGTGGTGGAGGTTTGCTCCATAGATCATCATCCCTCTATTTACTGCTAGAAAACTTAGCTGCTTTTTCCTATTTGCAAGAATGAATCAGTCTGGAATAAATTAATTGCCTTTTAATTACCTAACATAGTTGGGCTCTGATTCTTTCTCAGATGATTCCTTCTCATTTAACCAGTGTGTTAACCAGTCTTCAGACAGACATATAATCACTCTCTGTTTGTTTTGGTTTAAACAATAATGGCTCTCTAGGTGAGTAAATCCAAGCAGTGGCCACGAGCAGCATCTGCCATTGCCTGTGCTGCCTTCCCCAGGTGTTGCTCACAGACTGCATCAAACCAGGTGCAATTACACCATCTTCAGAGGCCACGTGGCATTTACAGCTGGTGCTGGGAAGCAAGGGAAAATGTTTACAATAAAGCAGTCAGAGGGACGTGATCACTGGAGCCTTCCTTATTTCTAAGAGTCGGTCCTGCTGAGTGAACAGTGCATCATCATTGTGACACGTAGGATGAGGTTTTCTCTTTCCCTCACTAGTGCTTTCAGTGAGCTTATATATGAATGCAGATCAGCTCAACTTGGGCTAGGTTTTAGACTGATGTTTCCTGCTGTGGTGAAGGTGGCTTATAGGTTCCTGTGTTTTGTCCTCACAGGTGTTGGAGGGAATCTGGTCGCCATCCAGGCCAGCCGTATTTCCACATTCCTGCACTTCTGGAGCATGCCTGGAGTTTTGCCATACAAGATGAGGCAGAATTGGCCCAACCCATGCACCACATTCTTCTCATCAGGTAGACCTTGAACTCTAGGTGTCCATGTCTCAAGGCCTGTCATCACAGATAGCTCCTTTATCAAGCCTGGTTGGCAAAGGACTAGGTGGGTTTCAAAGGCAGAACTCCCTTTCCCCCTGACAGGGAAGACAGTCAGATTAGAGAGCATCTTTGCCCATCTTTGCAGTGGGCAGCTTGAAAAAAACCTTGTGGCATACTTGCTCATTGACATGCAAAGAAATTGGCCTTCAGGGAGCACTAGATAAAGTAATTGAAAAAGATTCTCAGATTTGATCTAATATAAAGTAATTTTAACTGTGACCAGCCTAGAGCAATCAGCTGTGGGCAGAGGGGTGAATAGAGCATAACCTTGCTGAAAATCAGCAGTCCTTCCATCTTCAGCAATGGATAAACCTCAGCATCAGCAGAACTGGATTTGGGTCTGTTGTCTTTTTAGATTGCAGGTTCCTTTTGATTTTCCCTGCTAAGCTGGGATCTGCTGTTAAAACAAACTGAACACTGGGAAAGTGGGTTGCAGCAAGGCAGAGCAGAAGCAGTAGGAGGCACAGAGCAGATGAGAGGAGTATTTGGAAGGAGTGGATCAGCATGGAGCACGTCTTTGGCAAATAGTTTCAGTGCTAGACAAAGCTGCTGGGATAATACTGCAGATGCTCCTGATGGCTGTGTGATCTAGACAAGGTGTTAGCAATGTGGCTGGTGGGAGGGGACAGCCCCAAGTCTATGCGTTCCTCCCCCAGCCATCTGCAGCTGCTGTCATCATAGCTTCTGTCTCTGTGCCCTGCAGAGGTGAATTCCAAGTCAGCCCGAGTCCTGTTCCTCCTGGTTGTCCCAGGGCACCTTGTGTTCCTCTACACCATCCATCTGCTGCAAGGAGGCCACACATCTCTGTCCTTCACCTTTGTGATGTTCTATCTGACTGCTGCTCTACTGCAGGTAAATCCTAAACTTTTATGTGGAAGGAGCCTCTCAGATACCATGAAAACAAAGCAGTCTCCAGGCTAAACAGGAGTCATGGTCAAGTTTCCAACAGCAGCCCCCATTTCTGAGCATTTCATGTGCGCTTCCTACCAACCCTCGTGTCTTCTGTGGGCCCAGTAATAATTGACCCAGATTGCCAGGATCTGGTTTCCTGCATTGACATGACTGCCCTGAAGGGTGAGTGAGCGATCAGACATGGTATGAGGAACAACTTATCATCATCCACTCTGAGTGTGCAGGGACATAGTTAGCAAGGAGGTATCTCTTGCTGTAGGTGGTACCTTGTTTCACCATGTTCACATCCGGAGTCTCTAAGCCCCGAGTATTTCTAGACTGCCACTGGTCATCCCAATCAGGGTAAAGTGAGAGGCTATAAACCCCAGCCAGCAGATTTCCCCACTCATTTTGGAAACAAGTTTCATATATCATGGTGAAGACCCAGGTGATCCCTCTGGGCAGGGCAATATGGGTCAAAAGTGAAAGGAAAACCCAGTCCTGAGCAGTTCATCTTCAAGAGTAAAGGTTCTGGGTAGGCAATGGGCAGTTTATCCAGGTTTTTCTGCCTGTTCCCTTTCACTGTTTGCCTGCCCTGTAAACTTTGTCTTCTCACTCAGAAATGTATGTGGCTGTTGCTTAAAGTCACAGAGGCTTTGACTTCACTCGCCCTTTTCAATCAGTGATTCATTAATTGGCAGGGTGAGGTAGCTGGCTCCAAGCTTTGCCTTAGAAGCAGCCTCATGTCTGTGGGTGAATTCCTTATGTGTGTAAACAATCCATTTTCCTCAACCTTTGCACAACCCTAGGCCCAGCAGCACAGCCATAGTTGTAAAGGAAAATATTTATTCTCCTATGCATGGAGGTAACTCCTCAACCAGAGCCAAGCATAAAAACACACAGAATAAATGGCAGTGAAAAGAGCAGAATCCCAGCAACGCCACTGACCTTGAAAGATTCCCATGGAGGACAGTGGGGGCAGAATATTCTCAGCCTGGTTCTTTCTTCCCATCCATTACTCTTTACAGTGAAACACAGAAAGAAAGAGAGGGGCAAGTTTGGGTCAGCTCGAGGAAGCTGTAAGAGAAAGATCAGAGGGCTAGAAAACATGACCTGGGAGGAACAATTGAATGGACTGGGGTTAGCTATTCCAAAGAAGAGAGGCTTGGGAAAAATCTGGTTAACAGCCTTTAAACTACCAAGATTTTGTAGGGAGGGACAGAATAACATTTTCTCTGCAGTCACTAGGGATGAAACATGAAATCATGGGTTTCAAATAGAAAAGGGCAGATTTATGTCGGACCTTGGGAAAAACAAGAACAGAAAAAAAAAAAAGCCATGGGACTGCTTGCTCAGCATGTGGCATCTCTGTTTTGGAGGGTTGTTTAGCATAGGTTGAACAAACGACCATCAGGAAAGCTGTGGACATATTTGATCCTGTATTGAGCCACAGGAATAGTCTATATAAAACTCTTGAGTTTCCATCCAGCTTTAGTTTCTGTGATTCTGTTATTCAATTTGCTTCCCCCATTTCTCCTCCTTCCTCTTCCCCCCATCCAGCATGCTGTTTTCACCTTTAGAAATGCCACTTCTGGCTTTGGTTCCTGTTGTGTGGCTGTCTCCCATGGAGGGACCACAGATGTGGGGTGCAAACTCTCTCTCCCTCCTTAATTCAATTAACTAGGCAGTCTTTAATCTTTAACCAAAGTATTTTTTTTCCTCCGGTTTTCTCTTTCCCTCACTAGTGCTTTCAGTGAGCTTATATATGAATGCAGATCAGCTCAACTTGGGCTAGGTTTTAGACTGATGTTTCCTGCTGTGGTGAAGGTGGCTTATAGGTTCCTGTGTTTTGTCCTCACAGGTGTTGGAGGGAATCTGGTCGCCATCCAGGCCAGCCGTATTTCCACATTCCTGCACTTCTGGAGCATGCCTGGAGTTTTGCCATACAAGATGAGGCAGAATTGGCCCAACCCATGCACCACATTCTTCTCATCAGGTAGACCTTGAACTCTAGGTGTCCATGTCTCAAGGCCTGTCATCACAGATAGCTCCTTTATCAAGCCTGGTTGGCAAAGGACTAGGTGGGTTTCAAAGGCAGAACTCCCTTTCCCCCTGACAGGGAAGACAGTCAGATTAGAGAGCATCTTTGCCCATCTTTGCAGTGGGCAGCTTGAAAAAAACCTTGTGGCATACTTGCTCATTGACATGCAAAGAAATTGGCCTTCAGGGAGCACTAGATAAAGTAATTGAAAAAGATTCTCAGATTTGATCTAATATAAAGTAATTTTAACTGTGACCAGCCTAGAGCAATCAGCTGTGGGCAGAGGGGTGAATAGAGCATAACCTTGCTGAAAATCAGCAGTCCTTCCATCTTCAGCAATGGATAAACCTCAGCATCAGCAGAACTGGATTTGGGTCTGTTGTCTTTTTAGATTGCAGGTTCCTTTTGATTTTCCCTGCTAAGCTGGGATCTGCTGTTAAAACAAACTGAACACTGGGAAAGTGGGTTGCAGCAAGGCAGAGCAGAAGCAGTAGGAGGCACAGAGCAGATGAGAGGAGTATTTGGAAGGAGTGGATCAGCATGGAGCACGTCTTTGGCAAATAGTTTCAGTGCTAGACAAAGCTGCTGGGATAATACTGCAGATGCTCCTGATGGCTGTGTGATCTAGACAAGGTGTTAGCAATGTGGCTGGTGGGAGGGGACAGCCCCAAGTCTATGCGTTCCTCCCCCAGCCATCTGCAGCTGCTGTCATCATAGCTTCTGTCTCTGTGCCCTGCAGAGGTGAATTCCAAGTCAGCCCGAGTCCTGTTCCTCCTGGTTGTCCCAGGGCACCTTGTGTTCCTCTACACCATCCATCTGCTGCAAGGAGGCCACACATCTCTGTCCTTCACCTTTGTGATGTTCTATCTGACTGCTGCTCTACTGCAGGTAAATCCTAAACTTTTATGTGGAAGGAGCCTCTCAGATACCATGAAAACAAAGCAGTCTCCAGGCTAAACAGGAGTCATGGTCAAGTTTCCAACAGCAGCCCCCATTTCTGAGCATTTCATGTGCGCTTCCTACCAACCCTCGTGTCTTCTGTGGGCCCAGTAATAATTGACCCAGATTGCCAGGATCTGGTTTCCTGCATTGACATGACTGCCCTGAAGGGTGAGTGAGCGATCAGACATGGTATGAGGAACAACTTATCATCATCCACTCTGAGTGTGCAGGGACATAGTTAGCAAGGAGGTATCTCTTGCTGTAGGTGGTACCTTGTTTCACCATGTTCACATCCGGAGTCTCTAAGCCCCGAGTATTTCTAGACTGCCACTGGTCATCCCAATCAGGGTAAAGTCAGAGGCTATAAACCCCAGCCAGCAGATTTCCCCACTCATTTTGGAAACAAGTTTCATATATCATGGTGAAGACCCAGGTGATCCCTCTGGGCAGGGCAATATGGGTCAAAAGTGAAAGGAAAACCCAGTCCTGAGCAGTTCATCTTCAAGAGTAAAGGTTCTGGGTAGGCAATGGGCAGTTTATCCAGGTTTTTCTGCCTGTTCCCTTTCACTGTTTGCCTGCCCCGTAAACTTTGTCTTCTCACTCAGAAATGTATGTGGCTGTTGCTTAAAGTCACAGAGGCTTTGACTTCACTCGCCCTTTTCAATCAGTGATTCATTAATTGGCAGGGTGAGGTAGCTGGCTCCAAGCTTTGCCTTAGAAGCAGCCTCATGTCTGTGGGTGAATTCCTTATGTGTGTAAACAATCCATTTTCCTCAACCTTTGCACAACCCTAGGCCCAGCAGCACAGCCATAGTTGTAAAGGAAAATATTTATTCTCCTATGCATGGAGGTAACTCCTCAACCAGAGCCAAGCATGAAAACACACAGAATAAATGGCAGTGAAAAGAGCAGAATCCCAGCAACGCCACTGACCTTGAAAGATTCCCATGGAGGACAGTGGGGGCAGAATATTCTCAGCCTGGTTCTTTCTTCCCATCCATTACTCTTTACAGTGAAACACAGAAAGAAAGAGAGGGGCAAGTTTGGGTCAGCTCGAGGAAGCTGTAAGAGAAAGATCAGAGGGCTAGAAAACATGACCTGGGAGGAACAATTGAATGGACTGGGGTTAGCTATTCCAAAGAAGAGAGGCTTGGGAAAAATCTGGTTAACAGCCTTTAAACTACCAAGATTTTGTAGGGAGGGACAGAATAACATTTTCTCTGCAGTCACTAGGGATGAAACATGAAATCATGGGTTTCAAATAGAAAAGGGCAGATTTATGTCGGACCTTGGGAAAAACAAGAACAGAAAAAAAAAAAAGCCATGGGACTGCTTGCTCAGCATGTGGCATCTCTGTTTTGGAGGGTTGTTTAGCATAGGTTGAACAAACGACCATCAGGAAAGCTGTGGACATATTTGATCCTGTATTGAGCCACAGGAATAGTCTATATAAAACTCTTGAGTTTCCATCCAGCTTTAGTTTCTGTGATTCTGTTATTCAATTTGCTTCCCCCATTTCTCCTCCTTCCTCTTCCCCCCATCCAGCATGCTGTTTTCACCTTTAGAAATGCCACTTCTGGCTTTGGTTCCTGTTGTGTGGCTGTCTCCCATGGAGGGACCACAGATGTGGGGTGCAAACTCTCTCTCCCTCCTTAATTCAATTAACTAGGCAGTCTTTAATCTTTAACCAAAGTATTTTTTTTCCTCCATCTGTTTATCAGAATCAGGAATGAAATAGGAATTAAAAGTAATCACAACAAAGATTGAAAAACTGTTGAGATGAAAAAAAATTAATTATTTTTTTTTTTTTTTTTTAATATGTCACTGCTGCTTGGGATAACTTTGATGCAAAAACTGCCTCAAACTCCAGTTGTCCACTGAGACTGTTAGGAAAAACAAAATAGATGCAATCTGAATTTCTAATGGAAAAAAGGATTAAGAGAAAAAAACCTGGCCATAAACTTACCCTTTGGGGCTGCCTGCATATTCCCAGTAGCCCTTTTTCTGATGGGGTGAATGGGAGCACTCCTGTTTGTGGCATGGGAAGTAGGAACTGTTCCTTTGGAATGATGCTTTTGGTGTGGCCAGTTTCCCATTTTGGGCCACGTGATGCTGGTGAGCAGTTCCAGTGTGGTCCCCACACTTGTGGCTGGAAACATGAAGCTGTGGCACCAAGGGCAATGCCAGGCAGTGCAGGGCCCAAGGGCATGAGCCAACTACCCCTCCCAGTGCTGCTCTATCCTGCAGAGAAACAGTAGCTCTCTGGGGAAGGTGTTACCTCTCGGTGATCCCTCTTAGCTCTGGTTCCTTGGCAGTGGTCACATCATTTTGGCAGTGAGCTGGGGGAGGCTGTGCATTAGCTTTTTGCTGCCTCACAGCAGGGCCTATCTTGTCTCTCCTCAGGTGGGAATCCTGCTCTACGTGGCTGACTTAATTGTGCGCCTGATGTGGAGGAAAGCACTGGATCCAGATAATTTCTCCATCCCCTACCTCACTGCCCTGGGGGATCTCCTGGGCACCGGTTTCCTGGCCATCTGTTTCCACCTGGTTTGGCTTGTCCACGGTGCAGACATGAACCTGGGGAACTGAAGAGACCACGCACTGCTCTGCATCACTTGTGTGTCACAGTGCTTTCCTCTGGGAAAACCAAGTACTTGGTGATGAGCACTGGGTCACCCAGCTGGATTGGGCCTCCCCTGCTGTCCCTAAAGCCCCATCTCTCCTCCCCATCGTGCCTTACAGCTGGGCTCGCCCACCCTGAGGAATCAGCACCCACAGACTTGCACCCTCACAAGTGAGTAAGCTAGTTTTAAGCTGCTCATGCCTGCTCCTGGCAAACAAGGCATCAAGGAGCATTTGGACCATTTGTAATAAGTGAACATTTTTATCAGTTTCAGTCCCTAGCACTGACAGAGCCTGTGGCACTGCTCCTGGCCTGCTGAGGTCACTGCATCTGATTCCTGCAAGTGGATCTTGCAACCTCTCCATCCTGCTCTGACTTTCCATCAAGGGAAAGTCTTTATTCACCTCCCCTTTCCCTCCTGTTGCATCCCTGGAGGAGAGCAGCAACCAGGTCTTTTAACTTGTCTTCTCTCCATTGCTCAGATGCTCAGGATCTGACGCAGTGAATTCCTCACTGGTTTGTGCCCAGAGGGAGGTTATCTAGGGATACCACCTACCTGTTCTGGCAGTGTCACTGTTGTCTGCCTGACAAGCTGGATTGATTGCATTTTGGGGGTAGGAAGGTTTGTTTTTATGGTTTATGAAATGTCCAGTAGTTAAAATGTTTATAGAAATACAGAAATAAAGTGGTTAAAAAAAAGGTAATGCTGTGGTTTTGGAGGTTTTTCTTGCCAAGGCTCTACCTGTTCTTGCTTACCTCTTTCTCCTCCATTCAGGGTTTGACAATACAATTTGAATAGCACTGCAGGAAAATCAGTGTCTCTAACCAAGAGCAACCTTTTGCAGCCCACATGTCAGGTTAGAATGAAAGCCCATTCCCTGTCCCAGAGTCACCATCCGCTCCTAAACAATTGCTCTGCAATGAGTCTAGAATCTGCCTGTGTGCATGAGGACTGTGTTGGGCTACGTGAGGATTTGGCACAAGACTTTGGCAAATGGCTCCACAGGTCCTTGCTCCAGGGTGGCTGTCTTGTGCTGTCAGAAACACAGCAGGAAGGCTTGTGGGGCTGAAAGTAGCCAATTCTTACTGAAATGGAAGAAACAGATGGTAAGATGTCTAAGAGTTAGAAGGTGAGGACATGGATATCAAACTTTTGAAAAATGCCACTTGGCCTCAACTTTAGTTATTATCTGCCTTTGTGAGTGTTGGAGGAGGCACAGGTGGAGGTCAAGTCCCTCAGCCAGCTGACAGATGCCTTGTCAAAGGACCTGCTAGCCCTTAAAAACTTAAATTTGAGCTGTGTTAGGTGCCATACTGGCCTTGGTTGTTTTCTTGCTCCTGGTGCTGCTGCCATCTCCCAGAGCTGCTGCAAAGCTGAGGTCCCTGCACAGGAGCAACACGTGGGTGAAGGTTCCTAACAACAAAAGCTGCTCAGCTCTAGGATGCCAGGCACAGGGAGCAGCACTCCCTGAAAAAAAAAAAAAAAGTGAGCTGTCACTTCCCTCCTCTCCAAGCTTCCTGTTCCTTATTTTGTTGTGAAGGTAAAATTACCACATGCTGGCTGAGCTGGAGACTGCACAGCAGCTTCATGGTGGGGGAGCTTTCAGCATTTGAGGCACAAACTCCCCCTCTCTTGGGCCTCACTGCTTTATCTCTTGCTGCAGCCTGTGTGTGCTGCCAGCTCTGCTCCCCTGAGCCATCAGCCCCAGCACCCACAGGTGATAATTGCAGCAGCAGCAGCTGAAGGGGCTCATGGGGAAAGCAAAGCAAGCGTCTGATTGCTGGTCCCAGTTTGAGGGGTCTGCATTGGGAGATATGTACTTTAATCTTTTACTAACTTTAGACTAGCATTTTGTTTTGTAAATATTTAGTAGCTCTAATGTGGCCCTGGCTTGAGCAGTCCTGGAAAGTAACTCCTTCTGCCTCCTCTATGCTGCATGTCCCCACTGCCTTGGAGAGGTCCTCTCTGGACCACGATGCTTATGCTGCTGGTGTCAATCAGGTAAGGCTGGTCCTAAGGCCAAGGTGCTGAGGATACCCCAGGGTGCTAGACATGTGAAACTCTTTCTTTTAATAGCACAGATTTGCCCCTGCTCCTTCCATTTTCCTAAAAGTCCCAGACTGACTGGAGCCCAGCAGACTACAAGGGACTGCAGTCACCCTCCTCCAGCATCAATTCCCAGTACCCAACGCGTGGCTGCTGCTCTGCCACATGATTGCAACAAAGCCCTGGCACTGCTGCATCCCTTCATTGAGGGTTTTCTGCGCAGAGCCTGGCTTGTTCTGGATGTCACTGTTGACAAAGGACATGGATGGGAACACATAATTGATGCCATCTGTGTCCTACTTGTGGGATCCAGCTGGGCTGGGTGACCTAAGCTGCATTTTGCCAGTGCTGGGCTTGGGGGTTTCCCCTTGCATGAGGCATTGGGGCTGTGACCTGATTGTGGGGAGGTTACAAAATGCACAGCAAGACGTGCTGTTCTCCAGGGTACCCCTTGGTAAGCAGCCAAGCATCAGCCTCGTGCCCGTGCACTTAGTGCAGAGAAAGCACATAAGGCTGAAAATTGCTTCCAGCCTCAAGAGAAATGATATAACCAAAGGAAATGGTTTCAATAAAAGGGGATTTTCATTTATTTATTTATTTAAAGGCAGCAAAAGGCTAGTTATTTGTCTGTTCAGCCTGTTTACTCTCTCTTTCCTCCTTTTCTTTCCCTGTGCAAATGTGAAAGGGCTTTGGCTGAAAAGAGTTGTATGCAATCCTAGAGCACAGCTTGGATCAGCATTCCTGTAACTCCACCTAAACCTGCCCCTCCAGGAAAGCACCCCCATCCCCTCAGTGAGTGGACAGCACTGCTCCCTCCCCATGGCACCCGCTGCCTTGGTGGCACTGAGCCAAGATGAGTTGTCTGGGAATCAACCCCCTCCCCTTAAAAGCAGAGATTTGCTACTGAGATGCCTGCAGGATCCTCAGCTAGTGAGAGCTTTCAGTAGGTCACAGCAGACTCTACCTGGTTTTATGCTCCTTGCCATGTTGCATTGGGGTGATTTTGTGGGGGGGAGAGATCTGGGGAAGGGTATTGCTTTCCTCCCTTTTCCTTCACAAAATTTGCATGGCTTCAGAGCAAACCCATGTAGGTAGCAGAGCCCAGAGGGGGTGTGGACATTTCATAGTTATTTCTGTCCTTAATCTATCCCAGCAGGAAAGTCCCTGCCAGCAGTGGGCCTGGCTCCTCGGCTGCCATTACTGTGCCTGGCTTCTCACTGGGTTGTAGCTCCCCTGCCACAGTCACCAGCACCTCTGTTTGAGCTGACAGGGACTTTTATTTGTATTTATTCTTCACAGCTCCCATATAATCAACTTCCTTAAAAAGGAAGAGGTGAGAGAAGAGAGCTCCTCTCCTGCTGCTGTTTAGTCCTTGGCTGCTGATGTGATCATTTGGGCTCAGCACCTGACCTTCACTGAGAAACACATCAAATGCTACGAGAGGCCAGCTAAAGGTTTACCTTGTTTGATCTCTAAGGGGAAGCAAAGCAAATGTGGAGTGTCACCAGAAGAATAAGATTGTTTTTTAATAAAGCAGAAGAAACAAAGAAAGAAAAGAAGTGCTTTGGACTGGATCCTCCAAGCCCTGTGCAGCCACCAGCCAGCTGACCCAGGAAGCAGTGAAAAATCGTAAAAAATATTTTTTATCTCTTTTCTTTAACAGTGTTAGCAGGAAGGTTTAGACTCCTGAGATCAGCCAATAGTTTTCTGCAAATAACCTAAATCTTAGGCTCGTGTCAGTGCTGTGGGACAGGCGGTGAGGAAGGGCACAGGGGGTTGTTTTCAGGTATATTCAAGCATTTCTTTTCCTTCCCTCGTCCACCCCTCACCCCAGCTTCCACTCACTGCCTCCATCCTAATACAGTATTTTTCCAGAAACTCTACTTTGTATGAGATGTAACATCCTTACCAGGGACAAGTGAAGTGCCAGCCAGCAAACACAAGCAAATCTGAAAAGCCTCCTTCAAGCGTGACACCGCTTCCAAGACATACTTGAAAACACATTATTATTTTTTTTTTGCCCTTCAACGCAAGTCTATTTAATCCTCCAGCTGGTAAACAACCCAATCTGTGCTGCACAGCAAGCTCTGCATAGAAAACTATCACTGAAGCTCAGTTTTGTTCCACTGGAAGGAGAAACTCAACAGCTTCACATGAGCCACCGGGGATGGGGGCAGCAGCTCCATAGCGTGAAATACCCACAGCACGGGCAAAGTGCCCGTCGGGCTCCGAAGGCTGGGGCAGGCAGAGCTGTTAGCAGCACCCTGAGGAAGGGGCAGGCTTGCTTTTGGCTGCTAAGTCACATCGGACTGTGCCAGCCCTCAACATGGCAGGAACGGGTATGTGTGTGTTTATATAATCAATGTGCTGTTGTACACACAGGCCTCTGTAGACACAGAAACAAACGGACTGATTTAGTGGGAGGTGTCCCTGCCCGTGCGGGGGAGTTGGAACTTGGTGACCTTTAAGATCCCTCCCAACTCTAACCATTCTGTGATTACTTTTTACAATCATACACAAATATAATCGCTCAAGATATAATAAGGATAATAATAAATGCTGTTTAATTATTCTTGTAATACATCCTTTATACGCATACACATATTACATATAATGTGTGTGTTATCACCTGTAAATATTTCAGTTATTTGCAGTAACCCAATTACACATTATAATATAATCATTATTTACATTTTGTATGTGTGCACACATGGACATATCAAAGTTGCATTATTTTTTGCATCTCTGGTGCTCTGACAGTTCTCTAGCAGCTCCCAAGGCTTGCACCAAACACCAGGGCCGACCTGGCAGGGTGGGCACTTGTCCCCCTCCCTGAGCACACCTGTGCTGGGTGACACAGATGCCCTGTGACTCAGGAGTCTAAATGCTACTTCATATGGCGACAGCCACGTTTAGTTT